GTCAAAAAATCAAACACCACACTGCATTGGGCGAATCTGCTGTAAGAAACTGTTAGGTAGCTAGAGGCAGAATGAGGGGTGGCCCCTCTACGTGCCAACGCCTCTCTCCCCCATCACAGGAAGGTGGAAGCTGCTTAAGGCTGGAGGGCATGCCCACGTTCGGGTCTTTGAGACAGGAGGCCCGTGAAACCTGGCTAGGACTCCATCTAGGCCAGGGGAATTTAATTCAGCCGATGGGGTTGACCAGTACCATCGACCACACCTCCCATCAGGGCCCCTGAAACACCAGAAGTTTTTTTCTCTGGCTCTCTCCCAGCGGCTCCCACAGTTTCCCGGGCCTCAGGTTCCCACGTGTGGGTATGAAGTACTCTGAGGGGGCCTGTGTAAAACCTGAACCCCCTTCTACCCTTCATAAAAACTCACTTGGATCACAAACCAGGCTTTGGAGTGAACTCTTTCCTGAGTGAAGCCAAGGACCAAGGTATTTCTCTCACAAGAGAGGCGTGACAAGGCCTCTTTATTGAAGTACCATGGACTACCAGAAGGACAGCCAGAATGGTCCTGGGAGGTGCCTCACCTACTTTGGACATGTTACCAGAAAAGACCAGTCCCTGGAGAAGGACATCATGTTTGTGCGTTCGTGCCTAAAACCTAAGGCATTGCGTGCTGAACCTTGAAATCATCCTAATGCCAGCACGAGCAATCTCCATTCATTCTCTACCATGGGAACAGCCAAGGTGAAGTCCCAAGGGGGTAGGGATGGGCAGTAGCCCTGGGAACTCTAGTAATCCCAGAAGGCAGGGAGGAGGAGTTTGCCTATGGGAGAAACAAGACGGATGAAACTAGAACATACACATAGAATAAGGAAGGTTGACTCAAGGGATATGTCAACAGAAGAGAGCTATCTCCTTTGTGTTCTGACTCTAGCTGCCCCGGCCGCTAGTATGAAGGCGGCCTCAGGGTGTGGTGGCTACTCCGGTCTGCTAACCTCAAGGTCCCAAGTTCCAAAACACCAGCTGCTCTGCACGAGAAAGGGCTTTCTAAAGAGTTATATTTGGGAAATTCACAGAGGCTTTCTACCGTGTCCTCAAGGCTCACTAGGAGCTGGAAATCGACTTGCTGGCAGCGAGGGTTTTTTTCGGTTTTTATTACAAAAGCTTCTAACAGCCCTCTAGAGATGTTCCTGTTGGTATTTAGCTTGTCTATGGAAAGAAGCAAGCCTCCAACAACACGCTCTCTCCCCCCCTCTCTTTCTATCTATATTGTATTGCTTTTTGTAATTCACCAGCTACAGCTCTGATGGTGGGTCAGCACGTTTCCCACCTCCTTTCCATTTACTGTATACACTGAATAACATTTTGTTTTTCTTCACTATTATAACTGTGTGATGATTTCCCTCTAGGACAAATAGAAGGACATCTAAGAAGAGGAAGACCTTAGAAAAGGAGGAAGCCCCTCAATGAGATGGAGAGACATGGTGGCTGCAGCAGTGGGCTCTAACATTGCCTGGCTGTGAGGATGGCGCAGGAAAGGGGCAGGAAAAGGGTGTGCTTTATGCTGTGCACCGGTGACCGTCTCGGGTGCCTAACAACAACAGGCCCAGGCAATTGGGGGCAGTAAGGACACTTGGAGTCTTTTTTTTTTTTTTAACATTTTATTAGGGGCTCATACAACTGTTATCCCAATCCATACACACATCAATTGTGTAAAGCGCATTTGTACATCGTTTCTCAAAACATTTTCTCTCCATTTAAACCCCCGACATTAGGTCCTCATTTTTCCCCTCCCTCCCCGCTCCCCCCTACTCGGAGTCCTATCATCATTCCTCTCACCTTCAGCTGGAGACAGTGTGTCAGGGGGCTTAACTTCACAGGGTCATGATCCCACTGAGACACACGGACCAAGTCACCTGGCACACATAGACACAGAATACTAGAAGCACATACACACACGTGCTCATTCTATCAGTCACACCTACACACATAACTAAACGAGACGGGCATACACGCAATACCTCACACAGGTACAATCACACAGAATACGGTCACATGAGATTACATTCCATACACAGACACCACAAAGACATACAACCACAAAGCCACATGCACACAGCCACATAGCGTGTGGCTAATACAGACGTATTAACACAACACAAGCACTCTTATAACCACACAGATGCAGTCATACACAGATACGGAACATAAATCCATCTGTCAGGTCTCACACCTACTAACCACGTCCGTCACGCAAACACCCAATGATGATCTCACTGCAATTGACACTTCACGGGAGCAGAGAGCTTCATCTTTATCCCGGGGAGCAGCAGGTGGTTTCGAACTGCTGACCCGAGACCCCCTACGCCATCAGGGCTCTCTCCCCAGCTCCCTATAAAGAAGACTCAGGTCTGGCTTCCTAGGCAGTTCGAAACCACCAGCGGCTCAGCGGGCAAAAGACTGGGCTTTCCAGTCCCGTCAACAGTCGCACAAGCTCACGAAGGCAGTTCGGCCCTGTCCTATAGAATCGCTAAGAGTCCGCGACGGCCCCAGGGCAGTGAGCTTGGTTTCCTGCACGGCCTCAGTTCCCACACTGTACTCCCACAAGTCCTCCGCACACGCCCCTGCAGCTGGCCAATCAGGAATCATCCGAGCCCCCTCCAAGGGCCAATTAGAACAGGCCCCTAACCGTCAATCAAACGCCCCTTCCTGTTCTGTTCCTTAAAGGGGCCAACAAGCGTCGGTCTGGGCGCGCCCGCCTGCCGTGGGGGCGGGAGGTGGGGCGCAGGCTAGGCTATCACGGGCCTCTTCTTTTATTTTTTTGTTTGTCTGTTTGTTTGTTTTTCTTTCCGAGGAGAGCGCGGACCACTACCGCGAATTATGCGGTCGAGTTTCCCCCCATTTGGGGCAATCGCAGGGGTCAGCACAGCCGGAGTGTCGCGGGCCTTTTAAAAGGCAGGGCCGGGCTCCTGGGGAAAACCAATGAGAGGCCGCCGCCGGCCTCCGCCCCTCCCGCCCCCGCCTGAGGTCGAAGGGCTTTCGTGCTGGCTCCGAGGTTTCTGCTGTTCACCCGGGACGTTTTGGACGGGCGGGCGCCAACGGCTGGGCCAGGGTCGGGGTGGACCGAGAGCCGCTCCACTTTGACGCCCCCCGCCCCTCCAGGTCGGTCGTCAGTGCTCGGAGCGCCCGCATGGCTCTGAGAGGGGCCTCGGTGCGGCTGCAGAGCTGCGCGCCCGGCCTGCGCGCCCTGCGCTCCTGGAGTTCTGCGGCCACGCAGACTGGTCCGTACCGCTCGGGGGTGGTGGAGGGAGGGGAGACTGGGGACTCAGGACTTCCCCGGGTGACATTCCCATCCTGTGTTTACAGAGAAGGGTGGAAAGACGCAGAACCGATCCGCCAAATGTAAGAACCCCCTGGTCAAGTCCCTGGCGTGCGTGTGCCTGCCTGCCCCGGGGGGATCCATCCTACAGAGGGCCCCGCGCGGGAAGGCAGGGCTGTGCCCAGCCAGAGGCGCCGAGGTCGCTTTGTAGGACAAGAGTAAGGCTAAGCCCTAGTCCTCACTTCCTAGCCTCGCGTCCCGAGTTTAACTGGCGGGATGCCCTGGTTCTGGAGGAGCAGCTGACAGCCGACGAGATCCTCATCCGGGACACCTTCCGCACCTACTGCCAGGAGCGCCTCGTGCCCCGCATCCTGTTGGCCAACCGCAACGAAGGTGCCTGGATGGACAGGCGGGCGTGCACCGCGGGGTTCCCCTTTTGCTGGGGCTGCACACCCCCGCCCCACCATGCACAGCATACTTCTGCCTGCTCTTCTGGGGCACCTGGGACCCTCCACCCTGGGACTGGGGTCTCCGGCGGGCCTGAACACCCGTCATCTGTCCCTCGACAGTTTTTCATCGGGAGATCATCTCAGAGATGGGAGAGCTGGGCGTGCTGGGCCCCACCATCAAAGGTAGAGACCAGCTTTTCATCTTGCTGCCTGAGAAGCCCTCGTTGCCCTCTGGCTTCCAGTTTCCCATGCTGAAGTGAGGCCCTTATCCTTACCCCTGAAGTCGGCAGTGGGGATAAATGAGGGCATCCTCCAGCAGCACCAGCTCGATGCCCTCTGTTAAGCCCCAAAACAAATTCACTGCCACTGAGTCCATTCCAACTCACCCCGCAGGACAGGGCAGAACTGCCCCTGTGGGTTTCCAAGGCTGCAATCCTTGATGGGCGCAGAAAGCTTTATTCTCCTGCGGAGCAGCTAGTAACTTCCAGCTGCTAACCTTGGGGTTAGCAGCCTAATGCAAGCCACCATGCCTCCAGGGTTCTTGGTGCTCCCCTGGAGTGTTCCTATCTACCTTGGCTCCTTGGGCCCCAGGAGTCCCTGCTTCCAGCTGGTTAGGGTTTTGTCCTCTTTGTCCTACCTACCCAAACTTCACCAGGATATGGCTGTGCTGGGGCCTCATCTGTGGCCTACGGGCTCCTGGCCCGGGAGCTGGAGCGAGTAGATAGCGGCTACAGGTCGGCGATGAGTGTCCAGTCCTCCCTGGTCATGCACCCGATCTATGCCTACGGCAGCGAGGAGCAGCGGCAGAAGTACTTGCCCCGACTTGGTGAGCAGCTGGCCCCGAACCTGCCCAGTGCCTTCAACTCAAGGATGGCACTTACTCCCCCAGCTAGAACCCTTGTGCCCATCCTCCCACCCCAACTTGCAGCCCTCGCAGCCTTGACCTCCTAGGTGTTTCTTGCACCTCCCCTGAGATCTGCCCCCAGGTCTGACACCTCTGTGACCCCAGTCCAAAAGTTTAAACTCTGAACTTCCTAACTGGGGCCTGAAGCCTAAACCACCTTTCTGTCTCATCCCAGCTTCTCCTTGCCTGCTACTCCTTAGACAAGTTCACTTAAATTTGAGAAATGTGCCCCTGGGTCTCTGAATATCCTGCTCCCTCTGCTGGGAACACTTTCATGCACCTTCCTTCTCTTTGTTCAGCTCTTCACTGCCTTCCTGACTCCCCCGGCCCCTCCTGATCATGGCTTTGTGACTATGGCCTGCTGGGGCCTGTCTCCCTCTAAACACACAAGGGGTGATGGGAGGGCAGGGTCTAATCTGCCTTAGTCCTGAGGCATGGCTTGGTGACACTGACTCATTTCAGTTGAGGGCATGAATGGGTGCCATCCCTACTCCACCAGCCCTGGTGACCTTCCTTGTCCCTGCAGCCAAGGGGGAGCTCTTGGGCTGCTTTGGGCTCACAGAGCCCAACCATGGGAGTGATCCTGGCAGCATGGAGACCAAAGCCCGCCACAATCCATCCAGCAAGAGCTACACCCTCAATGGGGCCAAGACCTGGTGAGGGGCTGGCTGGGGCTGGGGGTGGGGAGGGGCTAGTGGGCAGGGGCAGACGGCTCATGGCCCAGTCCCATTCTCAGGATCACCAACTCGCCCGTGGCTGACCTCTTCGTGGTGTGGGCTCGCTGCGAAGATGGCTGCATTCGGGGCTTCCTGCTGGAGAAAGGGATGCGGGGCCTCTCAGCCCCCAAGATTGAGGGCAAGTTCTCCCTTCGGGCCTCGGCCACTGGCATGATCATCATGGATGAGGTGGCGGTACCCGAGGAGAATGTGCTGCCCAACGCATCCGGCCTGGCGGTGAGCAGGGATCGCTGGTGGGTCACTTGCTGGCCCACCTTTCTCAAGCGGCTACACAGCAGTGAGTGTGGCTGCAGCAGGCCCTGACAAGTGAGCCTGGCGGCTGGGCCTGCTATGGTTCCAAATGGCCGTTGGTGACTCAGAAGCCCCCTTCTCAACACCCAGGGTCCCTTTGGCTGTCTCAACAACGCCCGCTATGGCATCACGTGGGGTGTCCTTGGAGCTGCTGAGTTCTGTTTGCACACAGCGCGGCAGTACACCCTGGACAGGTGTGTGGGCTGTGCCCCGGGTTCCCTTGAGGATGTGGGGTACTTGGGGGTCATTCCTTACTCTTCCAGTGACTTCCCAGCCCCTGCCCACCAGACTGTTACTTTTTCTGTGAAATAGCCACTAAACTTGTTGCTAGCAGTTTGGATTAAGGTGACAGTTCCAGTAGGCTCCTCCCAGGCTGTGCACCCCACTCCCTTTACCCAGCCTTTGCCCCCTAGGATCCAGTTTGGCGTCCCACTAGCCAGGAACCAGCTGATCCAAAAGAAGCTGGCTGACATGCTCACCGAGATCACACTGGGCCTTCACGCCTGCCTGCAGCTCGGCCGGTTAAAGGATCAAGACAAGTAAGGGCTGAGCTGGGGCTGGGGTGAGGGGAGACAGCTGTGGTGGGAGGATTCCAGGCCTCTCCTGAGTATTAGAGTGCCCGACTTGGGAGAGAGCAGCCCTTCTGGCCTGGCAACCCCTTGGTATCCATCCTTCTTGGTCTCAATGAGCCAGGCTAGGACGGCCCTGCTGCCGTGGCTTTGTAACCCAGGGATACGCGTCTGCCAGGAGCTGAGTCAGTCCACTGTTGTTCCCCGTATGTGCCACAAGCAGGGCCACCCCGGAAATGATCTCTCTGCTGAAGAGGAATAACTCTGGGAAAGCTTTAGACATCGCCCGCCAGGCCAGAGACATGCTGGGGGGTAACGGGATTTCTGACGAGTACCACGTGATCCGACACACCATGAACCTGGAGGCAGTGAACACCTATGAAGGTGGGACCAGCTCCCTGGGGGTGTGGTGGGGGGGAGAGAAGGGTTGCCATGGCTAATGTCTGGCAAACATGGGTGGGGAGAGTGGGGGACAGAAGGCTTCGTCCTAGCTCTAGCTGTTACTAACTGGCAGTGTGACCTTGGGCCAGTCCCACCCCTTGGGCTCCCGTCTGGAATGGCTGTCTGAGTCAGGCTTGCTGAGCCTGCAGAGGCCCAGGCTACCCCTAGGTTCTCGGCCCTGCTTTTTCTACCACTGTGCCGCAGGGTGTGGTTGTTTCTGAGACTCATGTCCACCTCAGGAAGCCTACCAGCAAACCTCTAGGGCAACTCTCCCCAGGAGTGCCCATTCCACTTTGTTAAAAGAAAAATGCAACATCAAATGGCAGACTTGGTCATCATATCTCCCCTAGTTATGACTTGCACTGGGGCTCAGAGCCCATGCCTCATGGGGAGGCAGATATGTAAACCCATAGTTAAAAGGTCTACAGTGATGGAACCCTCTGAGGCGGCGGCACAGAGCTCTTCAGGGGACTTCGGGGCAGAGGGTGCTGGGCTGAGCAAGAGCCAGCATGGCCTCTATATCTCCTGAGGGCATAGAGTTGGACCCAGGGGAGGTCCCACAGCCCAGAGTTGGAATGGGCAGCTGGGCATCCCAGACAGGACATCCCAGAGGGGGTGGTAGGGGCATGGGGACGGTGAAGGTGTGGGATGGCACTGAGGACTGCAGAATAGGAAAGAGGCCTCAGGTGGTTCTCCATGGGGGAAGGACAAGGCCAGGCTGGTGTTTCAGGAAGCAAAGGGAATGATCTTTGTAAAAAGGAGGTGACTGTCTTTGTCTTCTGCTGGAAACCAAGGCAGAGCAAACAGGAGCACAAGGTGGAGGGGCACTGAGGGCTGAGGTAGGATGCTGTCAGGCACATGGACAGCACGAGGGGGAGGTTGGCTGTGACTTTGTAACTGGATGTGCTTGCTTTCTCATCCCTCCTATGGGCAAGAAAGGACCTGATGTTGCATCCTCAGAGCTAACCTGCACTCAGCCTCTCTGTGAAGGAGACAGTGCTCGGATGAAAATAACATTTAATCAACTGTGCAGGGCTGGGGGCAGGGTGGACTTGCCACTTGTGGGGAGTATCAAAGCTGAGCCCAAGCAGGGCTAGACTTACTGCTTTATTGGGGGCTAGCAAAAGGAGCTTGGAGCTTTGCCGACATGCATTACAGAACTTGGGAAAAACCAACTTCCTCTGTGTGGCCCGAAAGATGGCCTCTGAACCTTCTCATGGTGGCTGTCAGTCAGTGGGGGGGCGTGTGTCCGGGTTCTGTCAGCATTCCTGGTCTTTGTGGGTCTGTTCTTCATCCACAGTTGCTGTTTGGAAGATCGGCTTTAAAAGAAAGTTGTGAATTGTTAAGATTTCAAACCAACTCTATTTCTCGCATCCAGGTACGCATGACATCCACGCGCTGATCCTGGGACGAGCAATCACAGGGATTCAGGCATTCACGGCGGGCAAATGAGCACACTGCACTGGGGGCTTGGAGATGCTTTCTGGAGAGAAGTCTGGGAACTGTGCTCTGAGAATAGCAGGGAGGTGGCAGGAGGCCATTTGTATGGAGGGAAGTGAGAGACTGACTTTTACGTATTAAAGTTTCCCCTATTAAGTCATTCAGATGTATTTCCTAAAAAGAAGATGGATGTCTCTGGACAGAGTGTCTCCATTTGTCTTTACCTGGATGATCAACTTGAACTCACTGCCATGGGGTCAATGTCAACTCCCAATGACCCTATAGAACAGGATAGCACTGCCCCTGTGGTGGGTTTTGGAGATTGTAACTCTTTACCGCAGTAGAAGGCCCTGTCTTTCTCCTACTGAACAGCTGTTGGTTTTAAACTGTTGACCTTTCCGTTTGAAGCCCAACCACTACATTACTACTGGTATAGTAACCACTAACCCAGCCACCAGGACTCCTGTCTTACCTGGATAATAGACCCCACTGACCTTTGAAAAGAAGCCTCCTGGGACAGAGGGAGCAGGGAGAGGAAACAAAAGTGACATTTGAAGCAACTTCTGTGAAACTGCCCTAGTACCTGACAAAGCAAACCTCACACTGTCATTGCAGTGCAATGTGCACCCCGAGGCCCCCTCTCCTGGGGTCCAGTGCCTTAGCTGGATGTGGAGGACAATAAAGCATCTGCCAATCCAGCCCTAGTGTTGGGTCACTTTTCTGTCACCACCTAAGAAGGAGTTTCAGGCAAAACCATGGTCACTGGGCTGCGGTGTGGTTTCAAACCCCAGAGCAGGCAGAGCATGGCCAAGCAAAGCAGCGCTTCTCTAATAAACAACCCTGGGCTAGACATCGGCTCACCCCCAGGGCAGAGAGCAGAGCTGCAGTTTGGGGCAGAGATTATAGTCTCTGCCTGCTGAGTACAAGGGACTTTGTCCTTTTGGCAACCACAGCTCGGACACACCATATCACAGGGGGCACGGGACCAAAAGCGAGAGCAAGGGCACAGATGCAGGCCTTTACGCTTAGGGTTGTCCTTGAGGGGTTCAGGGTTGGTGTCCGAGCTGACGTCTGGTTTCTCTGCATATTCACTTCCAGTGTAGCTGCTAAAGCCCTCCTTCCCTGGCCAGCTCCCCTTCCGTCTCCATGAGCTTAGTCCTACCTCAGGCTGGACACACAGGTCATTGTACACGGTCTCCACGCTTTGGCAGACTTGTTTGAGCTCTGTTTCCAATTGGCTGATCTTTGCTATTTTCTGAGTGAACTCCTGGAGCTTATCCTGGATGATCTTGTTGTGATGATTATAAATCTGATACATTCTCTCCTCTAACTTCTCTGTCAGATCAGAAACCTTTCAAAGAACAAGGCACATAATACATTCTTGAAATGTCCATGGAGGCAAAACAAAAACGTGTGTTCTAAATGGAGCTCTTAAATCCCTGAAATTTATCTTAGAAGAACCGGAAAAATACTTTCAGTGACTGGGGTTAAAATGCCTATACGTTCACTCATTTCTGTTTTACAAAAAGCAAGATGCAGGAGTATGTCTACCAGTGGAAGCCCAACTGCTAGAGGAAGAGAGTACACAGGGGCAGAGCCTAGAGAAAACATAGCAAAGTTTCCCCTGGATGGCAGTCTCATGGGAACATTTTGTTTTTCTTTTTAAAATCATTTTATTGGGGGCTCGCACAACTCTGGCCATTGTGTCAAGCACATTTTTACATTTGTTGCCTTCATCATTCTCAAAATATTTGCTCTCCACTTAAGTCCTTAGTATCAGCTCATTTCCCCCTCCCTCCTTGCTTTGCCCTCCCTCATGAACACTCGATCTTTATAAATTATTATTTTGTCATGTCTTACACTGTCCGACGTCTCCCTTCACCCACCTTTCTGTTGTCCGTCCCCCAGGGAGGGGGTTCTATGTTAACAACAGAGTAAGCTAAACTTCAACACCACCCTGCTCCCACACTCATTAGCCATTGCTTGAACCAAGGCCACTGGATGCAGAAGGACCTTGATTCCTCATCCCAGCTGTCAAGTGATTTCCAAACCATGGCTTTCTCATCTATAAAATGGGCTCCGTCTCTTCTTTGCAAGACTGATGGGGTGAAATGAAAGTATGTGCAAATTTGCTAGCACTCTGCCTGGGATCATAGCTGATGTAACAGTGAAGCCCCTCCCCACATACAGAATACCCATCTCTCTCCAGCTGTGGTTTTGCAGCAGGTCTGGGGGAGTCAACTGTTACCTTGAGGTTAAGGCTGTCCCTGAAGTTGGTCATGAGTGAATGGTCCTTTTGCCTGCTCTCGTTGATGTTCTGGATGAGCTCCTGGGATCTCTTCTTCAAGAGCTCGATGTTGGACTCCAGGGAGGAAAAGCAGGCCAGTGACTTCCCTTCCAGCATCACCTGCCGGTTGGCACTGGAGGTAGCAGCAGAGGGGCTTGGCATTTGACTTCTGAAATTACAGAAAACCAAGATCAGCACCACATTCTCCCAAGTGGCTGTGCTGAATTAGTTGTGTGGTGGGAAAAGAGCTGTGTGGTGATGTCTGCCTTCCCTGGGAGACAGCTAGCTCATTCCCCAAGCTACCTCTTGCGCATCACCACCCGAGAGGGAGCATGCCCTAGGCCAGGGGTCCTCAAACTTTTTAAACGGGGCCAGTTTACAGTCCCTCAGACCGTTGGAGGGCTGGACTATAGTTTTAAAAAACTATGAACAAATTCCTATGCACACTGGACGAGTCGGCTGCTATGCAGGACAGGCAGCGGCGGCAAAAACACCTGGTGGCCGGATAAATGTCCTCAGCGGTGCCGCATGTGGCCCGTAGGCTGTAGTTTGAGGACCCCTGCAGGCCTAGGTTATTGCTGAGGGGACCAGAAGTACAAAGTAAATGCGTCAGGAGAGTCACTGGACTCCAGAGCCCAGTCGTCTGTCACACCAAGTTGGATCCCTGAAATGAGTTTCTACTGGTGCCCTATGTAGAGATGCTTTCCTCTCTGACCTCTGGTCACTAGCCTGCAAGCATGTTGATATTTTCCATTCCTTTCTGAGCCTGAGGGCGAAGGAAGTCCACAGCCTGGAGACACCTGGGGCTACCGTACCTGTATGGTTCTGCTCCTACCAGGGAGGCAGATGCTTGCCAAGAGTTCCTTTACTCCACAGGGCCTGAATTGTGCCTGACAATTAAGTACTTAAAAAAACAACAACAACAATGAGGAAAGACCATTTCCTGAACCTTCTTTTTTTAAAAAAAGACACTTTGCTACAGAACAAAGGCCTTTACCACTGACTAGATGGAAATTAGGCGTTTGGAGTCTGCATGGTGTTTTGCTCTGTGGTACAAAGGAGTGCTGTAAGTTGGAAATGACTGTAGCACCTAACAACAGGTGGCCCCAAATGGTTTGCGCTCACCTACTAACCTAATTAGTGATGGGCTGCTCAAGGCCACTCAGTACCACTGCA